AAAGAGAGAGAGAGAGAGAGAGGGGGGGGGGAGAGACCAACTGATTACAGAAATTCCAAGGACAGAGAATAGAATTATGTGATCATTGGACCAAAACGACCTGACCCGCACTTACGTCTGTTGATATCTTGGATGGCAGAAATCGGAGGGCAGAAATGCGAAAATGTGGCAGGTTGGGTCTAATGAAGTTGTTTTTCTCTCGGGATTCCCTCCTTTAAAAAATAATCAACAAAAGCTTTTAACTTTCTCAAAAGCAGAGTCAAACGCCAACCAAATTAATCAGTAACAGATCCCCCGACCAATTGGTTGTAATGTTACTTAATGAATGCATTGAGATGACTGCAAGCTCTGTTGAAGAAATATAAACTTCAAAATAAGTTAAGAACCACACCTTAACAGACAACCTTGATTTTTTTTTAATTCGAAAAAAAAAAAGACAGCGTGGAATGTTTCAAACGTTTTTGCTCTGAAAGTGTTAATGGGTTGGGCTAACAATGTGTTCTGTAAAGCTTCCCAAAGGGGCAAAACCACCACGTGCAGCACGGAAATCTCGGGGAATTTTAGCCAAATTTGCATGTGGTCCTTGGGCGCTGCCCAGCTTGTCACAGGCCCAGCTTGTCACAGGCCCAGCTTGTCACAGGCCCAGCTTGTCACAGGCCCAGCATGTCACAGGCCCAGTATGTCACAGGCCCAGTATGTCACAGGCCCAGTATGTCACAATTTCATTTGAAGGTGGGCGGAAATCTTTTCGCTTTGAACATGTCGAAAATCAAGAATAGAAATATATGTGTATGAACAAAATTTGGGATTTGAAAACCTATTCGCTAAGTGCTAATTTTTTTTTTTTTAATTTGTTTTAGTAAGTGTTTTACGGCATAAGGTCATATGAGCGCGCGGGACACACTAAAATTTTTCAGTAGGTAGGAAATTTTGAATTTTGCCCGTGTGGCGGCCGAAGCCTACTCTTATCGATTTTAGACCACCAAGGGATCTTTAACGTGCACAACTTGCACACGGGACCTCCGAGATTTTTCGTCCTTGTCCGAGAAGGCTAGGTGCTAATTCAGCTCTTTGTGCGGTTCCGTTGCGTGCTTGCTAAATATATGTTCATATACAATAGAATAAAATAGAATACAATACAAGACTATGCAATGCTATACTATAAAATATGTATTATGCCATTATATGTTTATATGTGTGAGTACGTGTGTGTATGTGTGTGTGTGTCAGTGTGTGTGTGTCAGTGTGTGTGTGTGTGTATGTGTGTGTGTGTCAGTGTGTGTGTATGTGTGTGCGTGTGTGTGTGTGTGTGTATGTGTGTGTGTGTGTGTGTCAGTGTGTGTGTGTGTATGTGTGTGTGGGTGTGTCAGTGTGTGTGTATGTGTGTGTGTGTGTGTGTGTGTGTGTGCGTGTGTGTGTGTGTGTGTCAGTGTGTGTGTGTGTCTATTGGGGATCTATTTGATAAGTGTGTTTTATGTATGTATCAATTAAAAAACCAATAATTGCCAACAGAAAAATGTGGATCTACGAAACAAACGTAAACTGTTGTTAAAAATGTCAGCAAGCTGTTCAAATGTTGTAAGTCGGAAAAATAAAATTATTCACAGCGCAGGAAAAATACAATCTTTTCGAATTGTATCTTAATCGTGCCTGTATCTTTATTTGTTGTTTTATCCCCCTTCAAATGATTAAATTTGAATTTTGACAAAATATTCCTGGAGCACACACAAACGCTTCCACAGATTAAGAACGTTCAATTGAACAAAAACAAACAAACAAACAAACAACCTAAACAAAACTGTGGACTTGTCACGTGTCATATACATTTGACCTCCGAAAGGATGAGACGGGAGATGGGTGGACGGGTGGGTGGTGGCAATGTTTTCTGCGTCTATTGACGTTGCCAGGGTTAAAATTGTCGTCACATTTGTCCGATCAGACAAAACATCAATTATATATTTATTGCCCTCAAGCCTCAGCCTCTCTAAAGACGAAATATTTATTGCCCACGTAGATCTATCTGTGAAATAAAAACACAGCGCTTGAAGACAAGAGACAGACATTTTTTTAACAGTTGGGTTGTAATAACTTCTTTGTCCAAACGCAGTCATGAAAACAGATAGGTGCTTGAAATGCGTTAAGAGGATCCATTTTCCTTCTGTTTTATTGGCTCTCTGCCTCGTCTTCATTTTGTGCACTGTTATTTATTCACGTAGCGGCTTTGCTCTCACTCAAAACGCCAAGATGATACAAGATGATGCTAATTTGATACTTCAGCTTATGGGGGCTTTTAAAAAATGCGTCTATATCTATATAAATCTAGTGTGAACGTGTACGTATTTAGCTACACATGATTTTATGTACCCCTCGTTACAATTTGTCGTACAAAGGTGGCAATAAAACGGTTCCCTTTTCAGATTACCAGACAGACCAATTAACGACATACAAAATGGGGAAAATCCTGGCTTGTGATGAACGACTGGAAACTAAACTCCCCTCCCTCTCCTTTCTCTCTCTGTCTCTCTGTCTCTCTCTGTCTCTCTGTCTCTCTCTCTGTCTCTCTCTTTGTCTCTGTCTCTCTCTTTCTTTCTCTCTTTCTCTCTCTCTCTTTTCTATTTCTTTCTTTTCTCTCT